AAATGTTCAAATTTTGATTATCCCATTGGAATACATGAAAAGCCTCATATCTGTCACTGCTTTCTTATCCGTGGAAATGGAGTTATGCAAGGCTTTTGAAAGAGGTCCTTTGGAACATGCAAGAGCTCATATGAAAAAGCTTTTTTCATATCATTAAAGCAGCTATGCTTTTTTCAAACTCACATAGCTGCTTTCAGTGTTGTCTCTGCGGTCTCTGGATACAAGTGCATGTACCACTTCTTTGCTTTGCCTTTTCCCACAAATCTGAAGGGAGAAGGCAACAGGCAGCAGATGCTTTTCTGGGAGTAGATAAGCCTTTCAGAAATCAGTGCTTCTCAGTTAGTAGGAAAGTATAGTGGTGAAAATCCAGCACAAAGAGAGTGCACCAGACTGGGGAATACTGTAATAGACTAAACATAGAGCTTTTCCTTATCTGCAGATATTTATTGTTAGGGATTCTAGGGTTTTCAAGCAAGAGAAGTGGGAGTCAACTTCAATGATACCTTACAGAAGAGGACACATTTGTTCTATAATTTGCAGTCAAAAAGAGGTGCCTATTTGGAAGGGACAATTTAGGCCTTTTGTATGCTTATTATCCCAAAAAGGTAACTTTGGAAAAGGCAACTTACGTTAGAGGTCATGGTGGAACTGGGACATAATATTGAACTCAACATAAAAGTTGGTATCCAACATAAAATGGATATAATATATTTAAGAAGATTAAACTGATAAGAACAGATAATACACTTGATGTTAGCCAAAAGCCCGAGAAGCGATATTTAAGAAGATGAAATTTTTGTCTTGAGCTCCCTACTCTGGTATATATTTGTTCCAACTTTGAAATAGAATGTTTAAAAGTATTTGACTATTCAACTGAAGATGCAGTGAAAGAGGAAGAATAGCAAGGTCTAGTGGAGAAATATTCATTAGAAAGAAATATTCTTAATTTACAAAACTTGTTTTAGGCTAAAAAGCCAGTTCTTCCCAATTATTATTTGAAGTGAAGTGAAACCAAGACTGCAGCATCATTTGTAGAAATATGGATTTGACCTTGGCAAAATAAACATATACAACATAGAGAAATAAAGCCAACCCCTAATTGCCTTTTATAAATATATAAATTCTAAATATTTAACAGTTGTACTTGAGCCAAAATAGTGTGATTAATTAGAGCTGCAATTTTAATCTTCTGTGACTGATTGACTGGAATTGTCCTCCAAGGTTACTGTTCTAGAAATGTGGGACTATTAAGTTTTTGCTGCTGAGAAAGCAGTTAATGGATTTGACCTATATGCAGACATTTATAAAATTTGCCTCTTTTTCCCTTGAGGTCTGTATCGCCAAAGTTACTTATTATTGACTTATTGATGAAATATATATCTTTTTCTAAGTTTGACGTGACTTTCTCTGCAGTATTCAGCTCCCAGTTGCCTCTTCACCTCATATTTTTCACCCTGGCTTTTCCTTCCTCTTTCTTTCAAGTTCCTGAGGCCAGTTCCTTCTTGGCGTATTCATACTTTAAAAAATATTCAAAGTAGTTCTCCAGTTCTCAGCCAATTTTTGGTTGTTTCTTCTATTACTGTCATATTCTTGAGCTCATTGTTAACTCATGCGTCCCTGGCTCCTTTGCATGTTAATCCTTGTTGTTCATTAGATGATTATCCTATCTCTTTCAAAAGGCATTGATATATTTCGTTCTAATGCTCTCCCAGATTATCATCACAACTCTTCTGGGTAAATTACAGTGAGAGAGTGACTAGCTTACATGTACCCAGTGGTCTTCATGGCTGAGTATAGATTTAAACCTGGATTTCTGTATTCTAGAACTGCTCCACTTCAGTGATTTTACTTCTATCTCTTGGTTCTATATATGCCTATCTCCAAATGAAGCTAATCTTTCATTTCTTCCTTTGATGCTTCACTTACATTTTGGAAACACCCCTTTAGCATTAAAAAAAGGAAAAGAAAAGAGTGAGAATTTCATGATATCCCATAACATAACTTGTATAGCTTCTTTGCGTTAAAATATTTATAGGTAGGTATAGATTGGCATTCCCCATTCTAGTGCCTCTGGCAACCACCAGAATTTCTGGCTACTATGGACACTGGCAGCTGTCCCAACACATCTGAAAATTGAGGATGCCTGTTGTAGACGAATATTTGTATATATAAAGCCACTGATTTAAAATTGCATGATGGGCACAATTCTGCTCTCCACATAGTCAACTGCTTCCTTAGTTCAGAAGTCCTAACCCCGAGGAGGTCCCAACATCAGTGCAACATGTTGCATGCATGTTTTTAACTGTTTTTATTGTTTTGTATTTGTATTTCTAAGCTGCCCAGAGTCTATGGAAATGGGTAGCTATAATAGAGTTAAAATAATAACAACAACGACATATTTTCTGGTAAGTATGATTAGGATTATAGAATTAACATGCACTCACTTTTGGCATCTTCCATACTTGTTGGAATTAATGAGAAATTTTGCACCAATTAAGCCATCTTCTGTTATAGTTTTTTGATGTCATGAGTGATGTTATTTCCTTATGGAAAATGTTTAAAACATTTTTCTTTATTATGATCTGTTCTGCTTAACACTTTTATTTTTGTCTTTAGTATAAGGCAAGATGGTACTGCTTCCCTTATCCTACTATGGAAGGTGACAACAGAAAGGTTTAAACAATGCTCACTTATAGATGCTGCAAGCATTACGCTTCTTCAAGCAATGGGTGGACGCGTCCTAGCAGAGGAGATGCTGGGGTTAGGAAACAACTATTTCATTGGTGAGTTTTGTTAATGTTGCTGATTTTTATACTCATAAAGTATTTTTCTCTAATGTATTGACCAAATCATAAGTGTATATCATGTATTAAATCAGAGTAGCTGCAGCAGGTCACAAAACAAAGTAAAATTGAAATTAAAAACAGTTAAAGCATAAGAATAATCAGGGAGCAGCAGAGGTATAGGTAACCTTAATAATTCAATCACTCTTTCAGTTTTTACTTTGCATAGCTACACCAGTCTAGTGCCTCCCTCCTCCCTGTATGTTGAACTTCAGCTACTATCAGTCCAAGCCACTGTGGACTATGTTTGCTGGGAATTCTGGGAAATGTAGATAGGATTTAAATTATAATAAAAATAAATTAAACAACTAATAAGAACCAATATATTGGGGGGGGGGTATATTTAAAGTATAACATGTCTTTCCTTCCATGTTTATTTGTCTCCTAAGATGTCTGTGGTCTAAGGTAAGAGTTCACATAAATGCAGAACCTGGTAAAAGTAATAGGGGAAATATTGGTATTCTTCTGTGACATCTAGCTTGCCATTATGAGAATCAGGATGTCAGGCTACGCATTTTAATTTGATCTAACAAGTTGTGCTTCTATGTTCTCTTGCTGTTGTTTTATGAATTGGAAAATATATTACAATTACATTTTATTTACTATTACTGCAGTTTGCAGTATTGAACCTTAGAAGATTAAGCTCAGTTATATACTTTATTTTAAAATGTGGGAAGGAGAAAGGTTTGGAGATAATTTCTGTGTGCATGTAAGTTTAATTAAATTAGGCTTGTGGGATAGATGGATGATTATACCTGGAACATAAAACTGAAGTTATGGTAACAATAGTATTAAACTGTTGGCTTTTAAAAAGTTTCTCTTTCTGACATGAAGAGCAAATTGTGAATTGTTCAAGGGTGTCTCGTTTTGGAGACATGTTACTTCTAAGCAAACAAGAGGAAGCCAGTAAAGAACAGATTTCCACTTGTGGATCTACTTCAGTGTGAACAGAAACTTCAGAAGTAATTTTGCTTCTATTCATTATACCTCTTCCTTCCTATATTCAATCTTAGTAACATTTTTAGAACTCCTTTGCATTGGCCTAATTATATTTGCAAAGCAGCAGCACCCTGATCCTGGGAATTGACAGCAGAAAGCAGCATTGTGGAATGGAGGTGAATGAGGCCAAAAGGGGCAGCACAAATCAGGCCATGGAATGCAACTAGAAGGAGAGAAAGCATGAAGATGGAGTCTGATCATATCACTCTCTGTCTCTTCAATTCATAGGGAGGAAGAGGTATAATGAATAGAAGCAAAATTGTTTCTGAAGTTGCTCCTCCTTTTCTGTTCACACTGTGCTCCTTTATTACTAGAGCTTGCAGATCCTTTGCTTTTTTGGCTATCAGAGCAGCGTGATCAGCACAATCCAGGTTACTGATGTTTCTTCCTCCAATTTTAAAACATGCTTATCTTCTTCCAATCCAGCTTCCTTAAATATATATTCCATATATAGGTTGAATAAATAAAGGGAGAGAGAGCCTTTTTTCCCTTCTTTGCCACTTGGAGCCAGTCTGTTTCACCATGTTCTGTCTGTATTGAGGCTTCCTGATCGGTGTATAACTTTTGCA